AACAGGGACAGGTGTTATGATTGAGCTGTAGCTCCTCTGTGAATATAGTAAATAAGGCTTTGCTGTACATTCATTTGATGTATTTTTCTACCTTACTACGGTACAAAAGAACTACAAGTAATCAGTGTTTGTCTAAACATTCAGATGACATCTGCCTCAGCCAATGGCATGAGTTTGGGGCGGAGCTATTGTTTGTTCAACCAGTGGCAAACCGCAGGAGTGTTTCTGGTCATTATGTTTACACTTAAGCTTTATAAAGTAAGTGAAACAGTATCCGATATATAATGATAAACATTTCAAAAGGTTTAGGCTACAATTAAATCACACAACCCCTCTACATTACATGTTTAATACAGTGAATCCAGTATTATAAAAGAATCCCGTTTGTACAGAATCCAGTTTTGTAAAAATGTCACGGTAAAACAATCAGATGCATTAAGACTTTAAGACTTTATTTGAAGCCTTTTTATATAAAGCATTCTAAAAGTATTTTAATGCATTAATTATGATTTAATGCACCTTAGAATGTATTCATGTATGATTTTCATGAATAATTGTAACCACAGTTATAGTATGTATGTATTATAAGTACTATATATATTCCTTTATATTCTTGCACTCTCTGTTCTAATTCTATTCTTTTAAAAAAACTTGTCCCTTTTAGACTTGCACTCTATTCATTTACTAACTGCTTGTTTTCTTAAAAAAAAACTAACACCAGCTTCTCTAATCCTTTTGTATTCTATCTATTTGTTTTCTTTTTATTTATTATACAATTAACAAAGCAAAAAAGCCTCTAACACTAGATTGCTCTATTCTTTTTCTCTTCTATCTGTTTTCTTTCTTTTTATTTATTATATAATTTCAAAAAAAAAACTGCTATGTGTACTGCGTTAAGCTAACTGAGACTTGTTATAGCACTTGCATATCATTGCTCTTTTGTTGATTTTGACTGCTTTTATTGTCCTCATTTGTAAGTCGCTTTGGATAAAAGCATCTGCTAAATGTCTAAATGTAAATGTATTATCATTGCTTCATCTTTAGAAAAATGCATTGAAATACATGACAAACAAATAATTTTTTGATGTAACAAGGAATCTGCAAATATTATAATGCATTTAAGTCAGGTTACAATTATTTATTCAAAGATACATTATGAATACAACAAACATTATGAATACATATGTGACCCTGGGCCACAAAACCAGTCATAACGGTCAATTTTTTTTAGATTTATCATCTGAAAGCTGAATAAATAAGCAAATAAGCATTGGTGTATGGTTTGTTAGGGATAGGACAATATCTGACCGAGATACAACTATTTGAAAATCTGGAATCTGAGGGTGCAAAAAAATCCAAATACTGAGAAAATTGCCTTTAAAGTTGTCCAAATGAAGTTCTTAGCAATGCATATTACTAATCAAAAATTAAGTTTTGATATATTTATGGTAGGAAATTTACAAAATATCTTCATGGAACATGATCTTTACTTAATATCCTAATGATTTTTGGCATAAAAGAAAAATTGGTAATTTTGACCCATACAATATTTTTTTGGCTATTGCTAAAAATATAGCCAAGCGACTTAAGACTGGTTTTGTGGTCCAGGGTCACATATATGATGCATTTTACATAATTCAATTAAGGTATTACACAATATTGCAGTTGATAATGCTACATTCATCATACTTGAAATGAAAGGTGAAGTGCATTGCATTGTGGGATACAGCATTCTGACACAATAGCATACGAATCAGGAGGAGCTTGTGGGAAGCTGCTTATAAACACCAACATGTTGATGTGCCAGTCTGTGACACAGGTACTAATTTTGTTCAGGCACTAAATCAAATTGTTTTCGTCTCGTTTGAATTGGTTTGGCAAGACTAATCTAAGCTTCACTGAGAACAGAGGTTGAGGATATGTCTCAGAGACACTGATTTGAATTACAACAACTTTGACCTAGTTGAGTTCACCTGAGCTGGAGAATAGTGTTTACCTATGAAACACACGTGAATAATAAGGGTTGGCCGCTGCAACTGGTTTTCTTGCTCACCTGATTTAGATCCAGGAAGTTCTGCTTCTTTGCCCCCCACTGATGGGACGTCCTTAAAACTGCAGACTCACTGGCGATATGGCAGTTCAATTTCTAGACACATACTGCATATTTCATAGAAAAATGCCTTGATGCATCTCCATTAAACCGCTGGAAAAGAAAGTGATAGATAAGTCAACCCAAAATGAACTTATACTAATTAAATATAAGTGCTAGAATTGTTTCCAATAAATACATACATGATTACTGATATGACAGCTAATTTTATAAGCCTATACATTTTTGTCTGTTGTTTTTAATAAATATTTATTAGTAAGCTCTAATCAAGATATCTGTTAGCTTTAAGACATTGAAACATTGTAACATAATTGAAAATATAGATGACAGTTCAGTTCTTGTAACATGGCAATTACTCTGATATTATCTTCTTCCAATATCAGGCAAATCAGACAGATACAGAAAATGCAAAAAATAAAGCTAATGTTTCTATTATAAAAACCCTTAAGAGTTTTCGCACTGCAGCATTATTTTCAGGATAATTAAGCACATTTTACCCCTCATTTCTCATAACAATAATGAGCCTGATATTGCCTTTCCCAGCATTTTTAGTGATGATTCTCATTGTTGAAATACATTCTTTTCTTTATTACAGAAGAAATATTGTTTTCCCATTTTTTTCAATTAAGCTGAATTAATTTTGAATGAATGAATGAAAGGCAGTATAAGGCAGTGCTCTGGAGGCCCCTCAGGACAGACACAGGATGGCAGGCCTCCAGAGTGGTACCCGTTCTGGAACCCATGGCGGATCAGGCAGTTCGAGGCGCCATGGCGGATCAGGCAGTTCGGGGTGCCATGGCGGAGCAGGCAGACAAGGAGGCCATGGTGGAGCAGGCAGACTAGGAAGCCATCGCGGAGCAAACAGTTCAGGAGGCCATGGCGGAGCAGGGAACTCAGGGGGCCTGGCCTCGGCACTCGGCCCGGCCTCCACGGACGGAGCCCTACTACCCCCCCCCCAAAAAAAATCCTTGCAGAGAACGTCGGTTACAGAGGCCCTCCGTAGGCCTAACTCGGGAACTGTGGCCCTCCCTGGGCTTGACTTGGGAACTGGAGCCCTCCTTGGGCTGGATGTGGGAACTGGAGCCCTCCTTGGGCTGGACATGGGAACTGGAGCCCTCTCCGGGCTAGACTCGGGGACTGGAACCCACACTGGAGTGGGCTCTGGGGCTGGAGACAACACTGGAGCGAGCTCTGGGGCTGGAGCCGACACTGGAGCGAGCTCTGGGCCGAGGATGAGGGCAGAGAGCAGTCCCTTTCTCCTCCTTTGATTCAGGGTGCATCGGGCCGGCGGGCTTGAGTCAGCGGCGGCCAGTGGGCTTGAGTGAGCCGCGGCCGGCGGGCTCGACTGGGGAACTAGATTAAATCTAGTTTCACCTGCATTTGGTGAATCAGACCCTGTTTTTCCACGGTGCTCCCTTACCGCACCGTGACAATGTGGACGTTCAAAAGTAGAATTCAGTGACTGAATGACTCACTCATCTTGTTTCTTTCCTGAATGAATCAATGTTGTTGAACAAATCGGCTGACTGAATGATGACTCACTCATAAAGAATATGCAAAACCTTTATATTTACTGATTTTACATTAATGCAATGCAGTGAATGAGAATTGCATGACCACCATCTATAGTCTCCCAGTAGTGTACATCATATTTACTCTAAATTGTGGAACTGATTGACACTCACTTACTGTATTAACAACTGGACACTGATATTGGTTGATGGCCTGGTCATTATATATGCCTTTTACTACAATAAAGAAAATTTGAAAGAGAATGAGTAATAATGACAATGAAGGACAAAAAGACAGAGAAAGAGACAAAAAGACAAAGACAGACAAACTGAATTCTAATAATCATTGCTGAGTGTTGCTGTCTAAAACAGACTGATTTTTCATCCATAAAGCCAGTCTAGAAAAGCAAATATCCTCTCAAATTCCAGCCATTCCTCTCATGTCACAAGCACTGGACTCACATCACAACCTGTTGTGTGGGAAGAAGCCATTAGATATGATTACTGCCACTCATTCACACAGGTTCAGCCTGAGCTGCGGCGTCTCTCAGACGGATGGTGTCATAAGTATGATTTGGGATCACGTCCAGAAATGCCACTGCTGTCATCCGTCTTGGAGCCGCGCGCCGTACATTGGTTTGCTGCAGAGCGGCACATCGGGTTCTCAGAACAATTATTGTCTGGGATGAGTCACAGCCTGAGTAATTAGAGTTGGCATCTTCCAGAGTCACACGTGTGCGTCTGCAGCTCTAGCGGCTCTTGAGTCGCTGGATTGTGTTCATTGAGGTTACCATGGTAAACACACTCCCTCACAATGGGCAACCGGCTCAGCTGACAACGGTACAGCAACACTGAGAGTCCTGAGAGAGAAATGCATTCTGGATTAGATAACAAGACAATGGAAGTCTTGATGTGTTCAGCTGCAAATGAACTTTTCTCTGTCTCTCTAGGTGATGGAATAGATGATGTCGGAAGTACAGGGCACTGTGGAGTTCTCGCTGGAGCTGCACAAGTTTCACAATGTGGATCTCTTCCAGAGAGGGTAAGTTCTGAGTTCTTCTGTATGTCTAACGAAGGCTCTGTTAAGCATCTGTTCTCTAAACAACCTGTTCAGGAAGAGCACATGGTGACAGCATCACCTATAAACACTACGAGCCACTTTGAATCAGCTTAATTGTCACATTCCAGGCATTTTTCTTCCATGTTCTTTTTGGATGCAATGAATAGACGGCATTGTGTGACATTCATTTTGTGCTATGTGGCATAAAGAATGGAGCTGGAAATCAAAACTATGCTAACAGTGAGTTTACTCCAAAAAGCTGACAAAATTAACTTTTAGCAGATATATGCATTGTCTCTAATGGAAAAAAAAAAGGTTTTAAGATGTTTTTAATGTTTTTGAAGGAAGTCACTTCTGCTTACCAAGGTTGAATTTATTTAGACCGTAAAGGCAGTCAGAGCAGTAATATTGTAAAATATTATTACTATTAAAACAACTATTTTCTATTTGAATATATTTTAAATTGTAATTTATGCCTGTGAGGCAAAGCTGAATTTTCAGCATCATTACTCCAGTCTTCAGTGTCACATGATCCTTCAGAAATCCTTCTAATATGCTGGTTTGCTGCTCAAGAAACATTTCTTATTATTATCAATGTTGAAAACAGCTGTGATGAAGCTCTGATGTATATAAAGTTAAAAAGAACAGCTTTTGTAACATTATGCATGTCTGTACTGCCACTTATTTTCAATCTAATGCTGAATGAAACTATTATATTAAATGTAGTGTATTAACATAAAAAGGAAAATGTGCTTCTCGTGCAATTTCATATTTTTTTTTTTTTTTTTTTTTAAATGTGTGATTTCTGGGCCATTACTGGTAACAAACAAAATTTGTGAAGTATTTAAGCATCCTGATTGGCTCAGACATGACATTCACCCAACCAATGGCGTGAATTTGGGGCGGGACTATCTGTCTGACCAATAGCAGATAAGAATCCTATTTGGAAACAATATATTTGGTACCACTAGTGATGCAAAAATGACACACTTCTCTAAATGTGGATTCAACACCTATTTTAGGATCATCTGCATCTACTGTATGCACGTTTAATCTAAATAACTTCTATAACAGAGACAGCTTGTGTTGATTGGGTGTTAAACTGTGTTTTCATATACATCTCCCCGCTAAGACCATGAAGTGTCACGTGAAGGTGTTCGCTTCAGTAGACTGGTAGATTAATGATTGATTTTTGCTGTTTTTGTACATTATGTTCCTGTCATCGGTTCAAGCCAAATCAATTACAGTCTTGCTGCGAGCAGCAGGTGAAGTCTACAGGGAATTCAATGACTTTTCAGGTCACTGATTTTTAACTATGCAGCATATAGGGATCTGACTAGGAACTCATTTGAGATTCAGGGACAAAACTGTGCTTCCATGACCTTTGTGGTGTGAGTTTGGTTCTAGTCCAGTGGTTGACATTCAATAACATTGGCATGTTATGTACACACTACCGTTCAAAAGTTTGGGGTTGGAAAATGTTTTTGAAAGATGTCTCTTATGCTCACCAAGGCTGCATTCATTTCATCAAAAATGCAGTAACAAACAGTAATATTATGAAATGTATCACAATTTAAAATAACTTCCATTTGAACATATTTTAAAATGTAATTTATTCCTGTGATGCAAAGCTGAATTTTCAGCATCATTACTCCAGTCTTCAGTGTCACATGATCCTTCAGGAATCATTCTAACATGCTGATTTATTTATATCTTATTTTCAAACAAATATAAATCTTTTTTAACAATAGAAGTGTCTTTACTGTCACTTTTGATCAATATAGTGCATTCATACTGAATTAAAGTTAAAAAAAAATCCTACTGACTACAATGGTAGTATATAAAAAATATATATTACTAAATATAAAACACATTAAATATATACACTAAATATATATTTATAGTTAGTGTACTTTTTAGTTAGTGTTAGTTAGTACTTTTTAATTAGTTTGAGTTTTTTCCCCCTTTTTCTTCTTCTTTGAAAATGGAATGAAATGATTCCTGCCACAAATTGATATCCCAAAACAGTTTTTTTTACATGGATACTTTCCAATATACTATATCTAAAATGTAACCATCTTAAAGTTGAATGAAGAAAAATAATAAGAAAATAAAAATATAAACTACCAATTTAAAAACAACATGAAATCAAATTCTATCCTATTTACTATGTATTTAATAAATTCTTCTGTTTTACTGTAAAAAATGAGACATTTTATGGAAGGAAATAAAAAATGTTATTAGTCATAATTATGGTAACTGTATCATATGGTAACATTATGTTAACAGTACATTAGCATTTGTTGATTAAAAAAGGGATAACAATTGAAGAAAAAATCTACTAATTCAACTTAATTTTATAACACAAAAGGCTGGCAGACTAAAAAATAAAACTGAAATCTGGCTACTTTATTTTGACAAAAATCACTTGAATGCACATCACACTGTAACTATTTCCAAACTCATAGGTAACTTTCCCGGGTGTACTTGAAGACCGCATAAGGCTGAACGCATTGTTTACTACAAAGAGAAAGTTCATGTTGTCTTAAAGAACCGGGTCAGTGCTAACGCAAAGCTTGCCAGTTTAATCTCAAGAGTGATCAACAAAGTTTCTGAAAAAGCGAGTCTATAAAGCTAGAAACACCAGAGACTCCCACAGCACATCTACAGTAGACAGTCTCATTAGACAGCTGTCTGTCAGCAGATCTAGTCTAGAATTTCCTCTCTATCCTTCACTGTTCTCCTGACAGCTGTGTGAAGCAGAGGTTGTGATGCAGTAGAGGTCACTCGTAATGTTGTTGAGCTCAGCCCGTCTGCTCTGAGATTAAAGCAAGGCCTTTGGCTGAAACATCAGCTTTGCAGAGATTGACCGGCCCCATAAAGCAGAAAACTAAAGCTCTCGTCTGAAATAATCCCCACAAGACACACACTGCTCTAATATACTGTTTGTTTTTAACAGCCCTGTATGTAGTTCCTGCTCTGAAGAGAAGCAGCTAACAATAGAACGGGGCCGAACTTTGGCCTATATATGTCTGATGGAGCCAAACCGTATGTGTTATAATGAGTGCTGAGAATCTGTTTGGGAAGAATTCGCTGGGCAGTGGTTCACTGGGGTGTGAGGTAGTGGTTTGAAAAATGTGTGTGGATTCAATGAAACAGAAAAGAACAAAATCAATGCAGATTTATCATATTCAACAGAGCATGCTGACAAACAGAGAACAAATCACTGACATATGACATCTAACATAAACACAAATGTGCACTAGTTGAAAATGCAGATATAATGAACAGAAGAAGAATTCTGTCATCATTTACTCACCATCATGTTGTTCCAAACCCTTTTTTCCTCTGTGGAAGAGAAAAAGAGACATTTTAAAACAGTTTTCCATTAAATTGAACTGACACTTAAAAAGAACACAAAAGCACCATAAAGGTATCATAAAAGTAGTCCAAATGACTCATTATGTTTCAAGTCTTCTTAAAGGGATAGTTCACCCAAAAAATTAAACTTCTGTCTCCATTGACTTACACAGTATGAGGGGAAAATACTATGGAAGTCAATAGGGCCAATCAACTGTTTGGCTTTGGCTATACTTCAATTTATTTTTTTTTTTTTTACGTTCAACATGGTCATGAGTTAATAAGCTGTGTGATTTTTTTATTTTTTTTCATCCGCAAGTCATTCGGAATACATTTGTGTTGGAACTACACAAATAATTATTGTTGCATTAAAGGCAGAGTAAGTGATTTCTGGTAGCCAATGTTGATATTTGAAATCGCAACTGTATGGATCGATTTTTAGTTCCCAGCATGCTTTCTACTTTCTCAGTCATTCTACTTTAAAATGTCATGTTTAATTCAGTGCTACTTGCTGTTTCTTTGTAATTAATTGTGAAATTTACTAGCAATTTCTTAATCAAAAATTGTTTCTACACCATTTTTTCTCCCAGTGGAAAAAAAAGTAACATTTATTTATTTATTTTCCACAAGATTATGCACTTAAAATCCACTTTAAGTCAAATTAACAAAGTGAATAAATAAGTTCTTCTCAATTTCTCTCTTTTTTTAGGACAAATGTTTACACAAACCTAATTTATATAAATGTTAGACATTTTTTGTTATTATTATTTTGTTACTGCTTGCCACTGCACTGATATCAGCACAGCTACGTTCACTGAAGTAATCATCAAACACAGTCATCATCTAACCATCCTCCAAGCAAACCACAAGCACGGTGGGAACCACAACAACTTAAACACCTGCAGCAGCAGCGATATCATGCATTTCATGTTTTAGCTTGTGCAGTGCTGTATATGTTTAACATGTGCTACGGACATTTTTAGCAAGTGCTATATCATTTCATATGCTTGTGCTTCAGCATGTGCTACAGACATTTTAACATTCTATAAAGTGTTTAACACATGCTACAGTGCATATCATGCTGTTTGTATGTTTTAGCATGTGATCAAATGCTCTGTTGACATTTCAGTGTAAATTGTGTTTGTGTTTAATATGTGCTGTAGATGCAGTGAATCTTATGGATGTTATACATTTTTCTGACGTGTGTTGCAGACATATTTTAGCATGCACTGTCAACATACTGTAGATGTTCTTGCCGAGCTCAGGATGACCCGACTTAGTTCAGGATCTCCAGGGAGCTGCAGCATGATCTGTGAAGTGCTTCAACATTTAACATGCAACTACAGTCACTTCACTGGCCAAGTTGACCTTTGTACAATTCCCCTGATGGAGCCTGGGCTGTCTGAACATGCCGACTAAGCTTTCACATTAACTCACCATCATTAATTATGATTTAATAGAGATTCCCTGCATAAAAGTGTACACTGACCAGATCAGTGGCTGTTTATCTTGATCTTGGTCAGTGTAAGTGGCATTGGAACCTGCATTATATCCATTATTTGTTGGCATTTTTTCCTGAAGGGATTAATAATTTAGATACATTTGTAGAGGACTTCACCGGTCTGGCTTGGAAGAAAATGCCTGTCTTTTATTAGGTAACACAAGTTTGGTGGTGTATGTATGGTGTATGAGTTAAAATGATCAGATTTCAGAAACTTTCATTGTATAAATATATGAAATTTAACTAATATGTTCCAGCTGTAATACGTGCTCAGTCACCTGAAGTAAATTATATAAATGATCATTTATGAGGGAACTATTGCTTTACACCTACCTAATTTAAAGGAAAATTTCAGGCAAAAAAAAAAAAAAAAAGCCTCCAAAAATTGATGGTTTTTAGAGAAGCCAGTTAAAATAGTTCAACCAAAAATGAAAATTTACTGACTTGTTCCTTGACAGGAGACAGGAGTTTTTCAGTTGTTTAACTGTAATCTTGTATGAAAATGAATCTTTTTACAAATGATTTGTATTCCACTTTGTAATCTGGGAATAAAATCTATAATAAATCAACAATCCTCTGTCAATTGCAGCTTCTATCAGGTGAGGGCAGGTCTGCTTGTGTCTCCTCGGATTCCCCACAGAATCACTGCCACAACCCCTGGATACACAGGTGAGAACTTGATATATTTACTTTCTTCATCTCAGTTTCCTTGACAGGAGACTGTATTTTTTTCTGTTTTTCAGTTGTTTAACTGTAATCTTGTATGAAAATTAATCTTTTTACAAATGATTTGTATTCCACTTTGTAATCTGGGAATAAAATCTATAATAAGTCAACAATCCTCTGTCAATTGCAGCTTCTATCAGGTGAGGGCAGGTCTGCGTGTGTCTCCTCGGATTCCCCACAGAATCACTGCCACAACCCCTGGATACACAGGTGAGAACTTGATATATTTACTTTCTTCATCTCAGTGTCTCTATAAACCATGTGTGTAGCATTAACACGTCAGACAACAACACGCAACTAATCAGTCAGCGGCAACGGTTTGTGAGTGTGTCTAGATTCTTTTCTTTTGTTAGACCTAATATTTTTAGAGGTGGTTTAGATTCAAGATGCATCATCTGAGAGAGGGTTTTAAACTGTCAGCAAGCTAAAATCCTCCCTGAGGAGATGCATCTCTGAATTCATTCCTTTTAAAGGCACATTAAAGCAGCACTTTTAAAACTAATTTAACTTCTTAAACAACAATTTCAGAGACAATTACTGTCGAACATTAAATCGCTTGCTGTAAGCTATGCTCCTGTTATTGTGCACAATGCATTAGTTTGTGAGGACTTCATTTTGGTTACAATTATACAGCCTATTTACCTTGTTTTGCCGGATAGGGGATGATAGTGAAGCCCATCGAATGAATGCGAGCATTCGAGGGCTCTGTCCCAAAGGCTTTGGGAGGATTCCTCTTAGCACATACTCTGTGCTCAAAACAGTAATCTACAGTACAGGCTGCTTTAGTTTTATTGCCATCTGATGGCAGTCAGGGCACCATGTTTCCACAGGTCACGTTGTGTCAGGTGAAAATATAGTCTGTTTTCACAACATTGACAGCTTCTTTGATCTCTCACACACGGGTTACCTGCACATACACACACACACACACACACACACACACACACACACACAC